ATAATGTAATAAAAAAGGGTTATAATTATCTCAAACGGAAATAAATATGAGACAATGTAAACTTGTGAGTGCAAATAAATTAAATATTATCAAAGAATCCTGTAATAATATGTAGTGTAGTAGCGTATATAAATATATATATGAGAATAAATAAATAAATAAACTATATACAGAAATGCTTCTTCAAAAGCTGGCTAGAATTTTTATAAAAGATTATCAGTGCAGCTGTTAACATAGTAGTGATAGAAATTTTTGGACGATATAATCTATATTGTAACAAAACTATGAGTATTAAAGGATACGACGACAATACCTTTTAAACGTGAAATTGATGTCTTCAGTCAGATTTTAAAAAAAAAACCTGAGTTTAAAGAGTTTTCTATAATTGAACTACTTACCCAAATATCACTATTGTAGATCTGCAGGTTTTTTTTGTTTAAGTTCTACGTAGACGAAGCCGCGGGTAAAAGCTAATACCAATAACATTTTCTTTCTCTGTTAAAAAAAAAACGTTACCTCAACACTAGGATTTCTCATGTATCATGGGAGCAGTATGACATACATAAATTTCACAAGGACAAACATCTAGTTCCGGAACAATTATTTGTAGGCCATACAAATACTTGTTTCGTGCGGGATTCGAACCCTCGGTCCTTATCGTTATGCTCAGCAGTGGAATTTATAAGGGTTCTTTTTTCATAGTAATAAGGGTGATAAACGCAAAAACAGCGTATCCGGTTCTCTACACTCCCCATACGAAACACATCAGCATTGAGCTGCTATTTTACGCTGGTATTCTATGAGAGCGTGGTTGTTCCCTGGTTGAGCCGATCCATTCGTGCTACAACTACAACCATATACAGCTGCAGCGCGGCTCTATCACGTACGACACTTAATTTTGCTAATTTAGATATTTTTATTAACTCAAAATGTTCTGTTCATTTCAAGAACAGATGATAATAATATTTTATTATTATTGGCCTGTAATGCTGCATTCGTGCTACAATTACGAGGGCGGCACTGAAAATTTCGGGAATCAAGGAAGTGACACAACATTACTATTTAAAAATGTATTTATTGCTTTTCGAAGTGTTCTCCGCGAAATTTTACATTTTTCCATACGATGGAACCAATCATTGAAGCAACCATTCCATTCGGAAGTTGGGGTCTCCAAAATGGCCGTTTTCTAGGCGTCCATAGCTTCTTTAGGTGATGAAAATCTCTGTCCACGCAATTTATTCTTTATTTTAGGGAAAGTATAGAAATCATTAGGGCTTAGGTCGGGGCTGTACGGCGGATGGTCTGGCCACCATTTTTTTTGCAACACTCCGTGAACGAACAATTTTTGTTGGCTTTAACTCATTTTCGAACACCCAAACTCCTGACTGGTTTTATGTTTCGGGTTCGTACGCATATGTCCAGGATTCGTCACCTGATACGATGTTGTATACAGCATTTGAGGATCCTGCGTGGAATCTTCCGAGAGTTCTGACGCACCAAGTAACGCGAGCCGCTTTTTGCTCTTCACAGAGCGAATGCGGTATCCATCGGGAAAACAACTTTTTTACACCTAATTGTTCATGCAAGATTATTTGTATTTGACTCATGCCAATGTCTAAAATTGCCTGAATTTCGCGGTATGTTACATGTCGATCTACCTCAATCAGCTTACGCACAGCATCAACGTTTTCTTGGCTGACTGCAGTTTTTGGACGACCTTGACGGGGATCATCACTGAGCTTGACACGTCCACGTTGAAATTCAGCAAACCAGCGATAAATTGTGGTTTTGGATGGGGCTTCATCACCAAATGCAGAAATCGTCCGGTCAACACACTGTTTTTGTGTTAAACCACTTCGAAAGTCATAATAAATCATCGCTCTTGAATTTTCTCGAGTCAATTCCATTTTCTCAACGACTAAACAAGTTTAACAAAACCTTGTGACAAGACCGAGAATCTTATTTTAAATAAATAAATGGTATTCGATTTTTAAAACCAAGGACTTTTCAATTTAAAAAAAAAAATTAATATGACAGGAACAGTGGAAATATTCCATTCCCGATACTTTTAGTGCAGCCTATGTACAACCATAACACAGCTGCATCGCGGCTCTACCACGTACGACACTTAATATTGCTAACTTATTTTTTACATATTTTTATTAACTCAAAATGTTGTGTTCGTTTCAAGAACAGATTACAATAATATTTTATTATTATTGGCCTGTAATGCTGCATTCGTGCTACAACTACAACCATAATACAGCTGCATCGCGGCTCTACCACGTACGACACTTAATATTGCTAACTTATTTTTTAAATATTTTTATTAACTCAAAATGTTGTGTTCGTTTCAAGAACAGATTACAATAATATTTTATTATTATTGATCTGTAATTCTGCATTCGTGCTACAACTACAACCATAATACAGCTGCATCGCGGCTCTACCACGTACGACACTTAATATTGCTAACTAATTTTTTACATATTTTTATTAACTCAAAATGTTGTGTTTGTTTCAAGAACAGATTACAATAATATTTTATTATTATTGGCCTGTAATGCTGCATTCGTGCTACAACTACAACCATAATACAGCTGCATCGCGGCTCTACCACGTACGACACTTAATTTTGCTAACTTATTTTTTACATATTTTTATTAACTCAAAATGTTGTGTTCGTTTCAAGAACAGATTACAATAATATTTTATTATTATTGATCTGTAATTCTGCATTCGTGCTACAACTACAACCATAACACAGCTGCATCGCGGCTCTACCACGTACGACCCTTAATATTGCTAACTTATTTTTTACATATTTTTATTAACTCAAAATGTTGTGTTCGTTTCAAGAACAGATTACAATAATATTTTATTATTATTGATCTGTAATTCTGCATTCGTGCTACAACTACAACCATAATACAGCTGCAGCGCGGCTCTACCACCTACGACACTTAATTTTGCTAACTTATATTTTAGATATTTTTATTAACTCAAAATGTTGTGTTCGTTTCAAGAACAGATTACAATAATATTTTATTATTATTGATCTGTAATTCTGCATTCGTGCTACAACTACAACCATAATACAGCTGCAGCGCGGCTCTACCACCTACGACACTTAATTTTGCTAACTTATTTTTTTAGATATTTTTAGTAACGATAATGCTCTAGCTTATCATGCATGCTTATGTATGTGGGATCATTACCAAAGATCGCATAAATTTATTTTATTAACAAACAAAAACTGTACATTGAATAAAACGATTATTACGGATATTATCGCGTTTAATTTACTTATCTTAATTCCCGACGTTTCGGGTGCTTTACAGCAACCCATGGTGACGGGGGCAACTGAAATTTTTGATGTCCCGATGTCACAGTTAGCCCGGTTTCTTTCAGTTTTTGAATATTAATTTTTGGATTGATCTACGCAGAATGAGCTTATAGTATCTTGAAGTGGTATGCTTGTGTTTGGATTTAATTTTGTTAATTTTAGGATCCCAAGTAGATAGCAGCACCCATCCATAGTTTATTGAAATTAGGATGTTTTTTAATTACAAGCCTCGCGTATCATCCTTGGTAGAAATCGGTGTTCTTTTGTGAGGATTTGTGGTCTATCAAATCTGATGTAATGGCGGGGACGATCTTAAATATGTTCACAGACTTCAGACTTCCCAGATCGTCGGTGCTTCATGCCAGCTACATGTTCTTTCACGCGGGTTTTAATGGATCTTTTTGTTTGTCCTATGTAAGAGAGACCACATTGGCAATTAAGCTTGTACACTCCTGCATCTTGTAGAGAGATATTACACTTAACGGATGGTAAAAATTGACTAATTTTCTTCGGCGGCTTGAAGTGGGTATATTTTAATAGAAGCTCGCTTCAAGATGTAGCCAACCTTGTCTGTGACTCCTCTGATATAGGGTAGTAAAGCAGGCACACGCACGACTGCGGCCGGCTTCACTCGGTCACCGTGACGTAGGTGCGGGACCCGAAGCTTGTTGTCTTGCAATAGTTGCTCGACGTGCTGAAGCTCGGCTGCCAGATGTTTACTGTCACAGAACCCTCGTGCTATCTGAATCAAAGATTTTCCCACGGTAGCTAACTGTGATGGATGATGGTGCGATACACCGTTTAAATATCGGTTGGTATGGGTCTTTTTCCAATAACCGGGAAAGTCGATGTCACAGTTAGCTCGGGTGTCACATTTAGCCCGGGTAACTGTGGCGGGATATCGGATCGTCAAACATCTCAGACCCTGCCATGACCATGGCTTGCTGTAAAGCACCCGAAACATCGAGAATTAAAATAAGTAAATTAAACGCGATAAAATCCGTAAAAATAGGTTTATTCAATGTGTAGTGTTCGCGGAAATATAAGAAATCATTTTATAAAACTGAAGTTACTAAGAGGCTAATGTGCGTAACGACAAGAAGTTGTCTTGGCATCTGATGGCTGGTGGTATAGGGATTGCGTATAATATATTATGTATTTAAGTGAAACGTTCAGAGCCCAGACCGCCGACAAGGAACAGCGTCAACAATTTGTGGTCACTGGTACTGTGATTCACATTCTAAGCTTGTCAATTAAAAATCACTTATTACAGCCTTTTTATGAGTGACAAGATAATATATATTTCATGTCAGGATACACAATAAAAATAGAGGTCAAAATTCTGATTGTACTATCATCATTAGGCACTTTGCAGCCTTGCCTTACAAGGAAGACGTCAGATACTTTACTGATATGTCAATCTTACGTTGCGACGCGTGTGTATCAAAGCTTGGAGTAGATAGATATCGCGAAATAAAGACGAGAAGAAAGGGGATCCAGTGCAGCTAAGCTAGGGGGAGCGAACCGATGCATGCTTCTGATTCTGTAGCCGGGACAGGGTGGTACAGGCGGGGGTGGCGGGGGTCGGGCGGCCTTCGTTCAATACGCGCGCGCGCCACGCTGCACGCTCGCTCGTCGCTTCTCGTTTTCACTCGTCAGTCGCTTTTAAACGCCCCTTGCGTTTGGTCAGTGACGCCGCTGGCCGATATTCATTTATCACTACGCTACCGATATTTCAGAACCTTATCGTAAAGTACGTATTTAAACATGATCCCACTTTAATAAATAGTTATATTATTGTACTATAAATATTAACGTGTTAAATCATACGGTACATAAATATTATTTATATTTCTTCATTTGTTTACATTCGTACACATGGTTTTTTTGTAATATCTAAATTACGAGTATTAATACTAGCTATTCTTGAATAAGTTTGTTTAAAGTGTATTTTAGTGGCAACTTTGTGGTTTTTATTTCCGAATTCTAGTTGGAAAACTTCTGGATTTTTCCGTACACTGGCAATCTGAAACTGCAGTAAAAGTTCTGTCAGACGTGAAAACTTGTATTTATGTGTTTAGTTATGTGTCGTATGGTATGAATTGGTGAGTTAAAATACCGTGAGCTTTGACTTAGGAAAATAAGAGTGTGAATATTTGATGGTGTGTCGTGATAGAAAGCGCATTACAGTCGAGATTGGCTTGCAAAACGTCGCGCGACGGCGCAACGGGGGTATTGATCGGCGGCGGCGGGTCGCGAGACGCCGGCGTTCCCGCCTGCCGCCTAAATAAAGCTCCGCATGTGTGCCGCCCTACGTCGATTCCGTCGCCTCCGCCACCGCCGTCGAGCCGACGCGTGATTTGCGCTACTATGCAGTCACACATGATTCAATTATTATTATATTACTACTCTCCGACTCTCCGTTCACTCCGTTAGAATCCTTACTGTGTAGTTTGTTTTGCATAGACTTTTATCTAGAAATCAGAAAACAATTGACTTCCTCATTGTATATTTGGGTTATCAATTATATTTTATATTAGTAAGGCAATAATCATTTAGTGATTGTATGTTTATAATATTAAGTAACTAATACTGTTGTCGAAATGAAATAGGTAACTGACGAAATATGTTTACTTTTAGGTGGAAATGTTTGGATAAGTGAATCAAGCTACACGTAAGAGCCATGGCGCGTACCGTGCTGGCGAGCGGAGCCTTGCTCTGCCTCCTAAGCATGACGCTCCAGACGCGCGCGCTCACAGTCTTGCCGCACGACGTTCGCCCTGGCCATGCAGTACAACACTTCGTAGGAAATTATTCCCGCTACACTCTACTTGACCCCGAGTACGCCTCTTACTTTACTCTTCTAGACGATGGACTTCTAATGACAATTGCCGACTTAGCGCCCTTACTGGATCAATCATTGAATCTCGCTATATTAGAACAAACACCGTTTAGCAGTTCGGCACATTCAGTACATTTACGTATAGTAGATCGTCGGAAAATGCTTAGTTTCCCAACATCCAAAGAATTGCGCGGAGAAATTTTAGAAAATGCACCACCAGGCTCTGTTGTTGATCTTCCACCTATAAGGGCTACTTCACTGCTAAGTGTGGGGCAGATAGCTTACAAAATAATAAAAGGAAACGAAGATTCTTTATTTGCTTTACGAGAAAAATCTAAGAGTGGAATTCCTGAAGTCGCATCAGTAATTACAGGAGGTGACGTGGAGATAATCGCCATGAGGCCTCTAGATGCTGAAGAAAAAAGAACGTACGATTTGGTCCTTCAGGCAACAGATTTAAAAGGTGTTAATAAGGCAAGTCTTCCTATTAAAGTAGATGTAACAAATGAAAATGATCATGAACCTATTTTTGAACAGGATATATATTATTTTGCTGTTAATGGAACGTTAGATCAAAACAGCGATAACGGTACAGCGCACTGGCAACGATTTTCAAACATTGGCAAGGTTCATGCTATTGATGCAGATGGCGATCGCGTGTATTATACCTTGAAGGCTAGTAATCTGGCTGTTATTGTACCACAAACAGGAGAATTAATTCTAGTTGGTGAACCCAATACTCACGGAGCTGAATTGCAAGTGCTTGCACACGATACTGGCTCACCTCCGCGTGAAAGTCGAGTAGCTCATGTCTTCCTAGAGTTCGTAGTACGTGATCATAAAGATCTGCCTACCTTGCATCGACAAAAGCGACGTGTTACCCGAGCTGTCCGACCTACGAAACGTATAGAATTTACCGAAGCTGACGGTGAAGTTGAAGGACGTGCGGTCTTTACGCTCGAAAAAGAAACTGATCGTGAAACATTTAAAATCCGGGACGAAAATCCGTGGGTCACTGTTGAACCTAGTGGTGTAGTGAAAGTTAAAAAGAAGTGGGACTATGAGGAGTTAGGGCCTGAGAAGACCATTGACTTTTGGGTTACCATCAGCAACGCTGGAAACGGAGGTAAGTTTTTATAACCGGTGACAAAAATTTTATAATTTAAGATATATCACAATTATAATCTACGTCACAATTTTTTTAAATATATCAAAAGGATACGACGATATGGTTTATTACCAATAATAACAGCCTATAAATGGTTCATTGCTGAACGAAATCTAAATTGGTTTTTTTTAAATTGGTGATTGTTCTATGTTTAATTCATTATTTGATAATTGTTTCAAAAATATCCTTTAATAATTAATTTCTGAAAAAAAAAATGTTTAGTTCTAATTAGATGTTACTTTTTAGATTGTAAAAATCTAAAAGTAACATCTCTGTATTGAATGACTTGAGATAATTATAGGAAAGGATAATGAGCGAAGCGTGTATATTTATAGCGTCTATTAAGAACGACTTCGTAGCTGCTAAGTGTAGAAGTTATAGAGTATAGAGACATTAGACTTATGCGGCAGAATACCCTTTTAGATGTCATATATTGCAGGCATATTCATACTTTAGAATTGTGATCAATCATAGGCTTATAATAAGTAAAAAGTTGTATGTTTATATTTGGTATACGGCTAGTTGCCAAAGCTAGTCTACATCAGTATTGCGGTTTTCATTTCAACTTTTTGTGATGTTTTACGGAAGTGTTATTTTGTATCGAATGAGTGTTGTCGTCGACGTACAATGACAACGTATTTCGATAGCACGCACCTGTCAAAGCGAATGGGGCAGTCGACCGAAACATGACGTCGCCAGGTCATTACCAATGTGATATATAGACCAAAGACTTTTGGTATCCAAAACGCTGTCAATTTGTAGTTACACCAATATACATATATGATAATTTTAAAATTCTTTAGAATATATACTAGGGCTGTTATTTTATAAAACCCGCTATCAGGTTTGTTAGTAAATATTCACATATTATTATTAACACATTTTTGACAGCTCGTGATGCTTTTAAAAATATTTTTAACATAATAATATGTGATACACAATTAATACCGATTCGACAGTTAATTAATTGTTAGATAAAACGACGTGATAATGATTAGAAAGCTTAGAATATTATTTAAAATGTTCTAGAACGGGCATGATAATTTCAGTACATATAAAGTATCATCAACATTGACCATACTTTTGTATTTCAGGTGTTCAACAGTTAAAACTTCATTAAATTCAAAGCATAATTAGGTACTCCTTGCGTTTTATATTAGACTATTTCGTGTGAATAAAACAACAAGATTTCACACTCTAAGTTCCCACGAGTTCTTGTTTAGATTCTTATTGTAGAAATGTAAAACATAAAATTTCGTACATTAAATAAAATGGTGCGACAGGTTGAAGCCACCGAACAGAATGCGTTGAAAATCAGGGACCTGTCGCACGGCCCCGAATACCTCGTCTTCAATTCTTTACGCCGCAAATCACGACATTGATACGGAATGTATCTCTAATAGATGTTGCAGTCACTAGTTTAAAAAATTACTGGAATTGCTTTATGTGTTTATAATGTACCTTATAAACCTTTTTAATTTTTATTGAGAAATTAATTTTAATTTTATTTAATTTTACTATGAGCAAAAAAAATATTTTGATAACGTGTAAAGTCCGCTAACATACACAACAGAGGAGGGCTGTGCCCAGCTGTGGGACATATATTATAAGATGTAACTTTACTTTACTATAAGCGTATATTTACTTTACTAGGTTAGTTATTTCTTTATATCTAATAAAAAACTATTTATTTAATAGAATTTTCGTCACCATGTGTAATGATGACGAAGAATACAATAATTACAAAATTATTAATAAGGAAATCGTTACATAAAACTCAATTTTTATATGAGTCAATTTTATCACATGTGTTTAAATTTTGGGTCGCCCTTTGCCATGTTGGGTGGCTTAGCTCCGGGCGTATCAAAAACTAACAACCCAATCCGTAGATTTAAATTACAACGTAACTGTTTTTAATTTTACAGAATGTTTATGTATGTTTATGTAATTTACAGCTAGGTACTATTATATTGTATATTTAGAAGTCAAATTAATTTTCATCACTCATTAAGCACGAAAGCTGACTTTATGAGCGGGTTTTTGCAGCTTAGTTTTTACTAGTTACTAATTATTTTGGTTAACGTTTCAAAATACTTTTGCTTGTTTTTATAATAAATTATAATCAATCACACTTTTCGTCTTACTAGTATCTGCTTTGACTCTTACGTTTGCATTATTATTTTCCAGTTAGATTTTTCAGAACGCGTTGAATTGAAACGACAAATTGCTATTGTGTACTGTGTAGAACAAAGTAGCGTTGAGGACTGAAAAACCTGCTCTATAGGCAAATTAATTCAATTCATACTTTCGACGTTATCCAAACCTTTTCGTGTAGACAAGTGATGAAAGCTTTTTAAATTGTTTATGAATTATGAAGTTTTTAAATAACATTCCAGTAAAGGGAAAAATTTAAGAAGTGTTTATTTTTCTGTTTAATAAGAAAAATCGATCAAAACAAATGCGCCCGGATTACAAATACACGTTAATGCTACAAGATAGATGAATTGGAGTGCAACGTAAAATACATTGCAATGGCCATTCCGCTTTGTTTACGCTTGTTTAGATTCTTCTAGATGCTTTTTATAGGGACTCACGTGCCTGTACTAATTTAAAAATGCTTGTGGCTATCTGTTAGATGTAATATTGTCCAGCTGATAAAGATTTATAAATAAAAATATTTATATACAAGTAAATCGAGATCATATTGTTAATTTTTAAGTTTAAGTTTTTCGGATAAAATATAGCCTTCTGGCATTATTTTCAATCTGTCTGTAAAGTTTCATTATTATTGGTTCAGCCATACAAAAATTTTAAAAGTGGTTATATCTGTTATAACAGCATTCAAATAACCCGGTCAGCTTAATATAAAGCAGTTATTTCGATAGTACAGAAATACACTTCAATTGTATTTCTATGTATAGATAAATTAACTTAATAATTTAGAAAAAAAGAAGAAAATTACATTATATAATATTTATTCGTTGCTACAAACACTTAAAAAACCTTCATAAGAAATAATAAATTTAAAAAAAAAACGAAATTCACACTGGATTGCAGCACTGATACTAACAACAACAGAGTTACCGCTATGCTGATATTCTGTCGGAGTCACATATTAAGACTCGCGAGCAATCGCTGGACATAACATTATTATTTATAACAATCACAGATTTCACATTAAATCTATAGGTATTTAATACTATTTTTATTGTTATAACATATTATGGTTTTATATGATGTCTGTGTGATTTTAAATTTGTACTCATTATTCACAGACTCCCATATAATAACAAGTGCGTAGGATTATCTACGTTCCAAACACATTCATCGTGAATTACTGATATAAATAGGTATTAAAAATCAAAGTAGAGCTGCCAGGCCCGTTCGCACCTAAATCAGTTAAGGACATTTTCTTTAAAGAATTTCTAAATACATTTTTTTTTAAATAATTGGCATGATATAAACTAACCTTTACCGTTACAGCCAATTAAAGTCCACTGCTGAACATACGCCTGCCCAATAGATTGTCTAAAAGTTTAGTAACCGCAGTTTTTTATGTTAATTTTTTTATTTATTTATTTATTCTTTATTGCATTCCTTAATGTAAAAGAATACAAAGGGCGGACTTAATGCCTTGTAGCATTCTCTACCAGTCAATCCATGGAGTGGTGAGAATTTAAATGTTTAGTCGTTATTAGGAAGATGCTGCTCCCCACATCCTGATTTGTTTCCCTCTGTCGCCTCTTACGACACCCACGGGATGATATGGGGTAGTGGATATTCTTACACCGCCACTACACGGTACTGATTATAAATTTACATATACCTATATGTATGATATACGCATCAGATATTGCCATATAAGTTTATAATATTATAAAGTTATGACAATATCTGATATATGTATCTGTCCATTTGTGTCTCTATATATACTCGTAATAACATATAATATCACGCGTAGATATTATATCTACCATTAGGTAGGACTCAATTTTTGCCTCCAGTCGGTAGGATTATTCCTGCTTAAGCGTCAGTTTGAGTGGGTTCCACCCTCTTTTCTATTTTTGTCTTTGAGCAGCAATGCGTACCCCAATCATAGTAAATAAATTGGCTAGTGGAACTTTGTCTTAAATCATTTCTAGCTTGTGTTGCTTAATAAGAATTTATTTATATATATTAATATCATTATTAAGATAATTAATAATGATATTAGATACTCTTAAGATAATTAGCACTACATTCAGATTCTCCATGTACTTATGTAAACAAATCTTATACATATCAAGTACTCTGTAAGTTTATTGCGAAAATAACATATTATGCAGAGAACTATTTTTTTTATAGGATAAGGGTGACAAACGAGCACACAGTCCACCAGATGGTAAGTAGTTGCTGCGGCCCATAGACATCTACATCTATCCTCTGTTACAAATCAAAATGTAGATGCGTTGTCACCCGTGAGGACTAAGATGGAATGCCTCATTTCCAGTAAAAAGGGCCTCCGGCCACCTGCACTCACCAAGCGAAACGCAGAGGTAAACATCTACTTCACGCTGGTTTTCTGTGAGGTCGTGGTACCACCCCGGTTCGAGCCGGCCCATCCGTGCAACAGCAAAAGCTGCCGCGTGTCTCTACCACTGTCTAAATATATTGTATATATCAATATATTATATTCATAAACTTTTTAATATAATGTAGTTTCTCTAAAATCCTGGTGTAACCTATTTTCAAAGGGTAAGAGTTTAAAGTAGAAGTAGAGTGAAAAGAGTTTCAAGAGTAGGTATAATTTAAATTGATTTGTGTTCCATCGTAAACATTCGGAAATAATAGCGTTAGTTCCAGATTGGGGTTATGACAATCTATTGTAGTAGGTGCCACATATTCTGTTCCCTTAAATCAATAATTGAATAAGATGCTGGTGTGACGTCTTGCGCATTGGGTTGGAATTGGCATGTCCA